GAAATGAAGATCACATGGGGCGCAGAGCCAGCAGCAGAGCAACAGGGGAGTGGGAGAAGGAGAAGGGTGGAGAAGGTACAGAAAATAAGTAGCATAGACAGTAGGTAGAAAATAGACAGGGGGGAGGGCAAGAATAGTAGGGGAAATATAGAATCTAAAGAACTTGAGACATGTGGTCATAAACTAAAGAGGGGGAATGGTGGGGGAGGGGTGTGCAGGGTGGAGGGAAATGAAGGGAGGAAATAGAGCAATTGTAATGGCATAATCAATAAAATATATTTAAAAAATATGAACAGTAAGATGACAAACTCATAACTATCAACAAATGAACCTAAAAGAAAAGAAAAACAATGAAAATAAAAACTAAGCAAACAACTAGAACAGGAACAGAATCAGAGAAATGGACATCACACAGAGGCAGTTCAGTGTGGAGGGGGAAGGGAGGAATAGCGGGGAAAGGGTACAGAAAAGAAGCATAATTAGTAGGCATAAAATAGATGGGGAAAGATAAAAATGGTATAGGAAACAAAGGACTCAAAGAACTTATATGTACAAACCATGGACATGAACTAAGGGGGGCAGAATGCTGGTGGGTTGGGGGGCAGGGTGGAGGGGAAAAAAAGGGGGGAAATTGGGAAAACTATAATAGCATAATCAATAAAAACACTTAAAAAATAGAGTTAAGTGCTTAATATGGCTTATAGATATTGCAAATCTGGATCCTTGTTTGTTTCTAAAACTTCACCTCATATCTTTCTCTTCTGGTTTACCCTGCAATGGCCGGACTGGTCTAGAAAATATTTCATTTCCTCTTGCAACACAGTGTCTTTAAATACTACAATCCCTACTTGAAATACTGTTCTTAGTCTTTGAGTAACTCCTGTTTATGCCTCAAGTTTCAGCTTAAATGTCACTTTCTCAAAGAGGTTTTCCCAGATTTATCACTTTTATAGACTCTCCCACCCTCTTCATTACTCTCTTCATGGCACCTGTATTTCTATTTTATAGCATTATTTGTGCCTACCCCAAACCCTCAATGTATACCTAGCACCTAAGGCAGTTCCTGAAACATTAATATTCAAAAATGCTTGTTGAGTGAGTGACTATCCTTGTAATCCTGAGGCATTTGATACCGCACCTTATAAGCAGAAGCTCAATAAAGGCTTGTTAAGTTAAACTGCTTAACAATTTATTTGAGATATATTATCACTGTAGGTGCTTCTAGCCAAATCCAAGATCATTTTCTAAGTCTTCATTGTTAGAAAGTAAGAGTAAGAAAAATAAGGCTGGATGTTAAAAAATGGATCCAATGGAAAGAGTCACTTTGGCAGTAGGTCAACATAATTAAAAGTCTGTTTCTAAAAACTTGATGAGTTTACTTTATAATTTTCAAGCTCTGGGAGAACTAATTAACTCCAATGAAATTCATAAGAGAAAGATTAATCAAAATTAGGATGGATAATTTTGTGAAATATCCTGCATAATAGATTAAAATGATTTATTCCATGATAAAACAAACATTTTCTATTTAATTCAATACAAATACCCAGTGGGACTGAAACAAACTGTGCTATAAATATTCATGGTTATTTGCTCAAGTGCTTCTTTCTTCTGGACAATTCTAATTAAACACTAGTTCTTATTAGCCTCCCTTCCCCACTGTTTTTTCTTAAATTTAATTAATTTATTTATTTTTTAGAGGGAAGGGAGGGAGAGAAGGAGAGAAATATCAATGCATGGTTGCTTTCTCATGCCTCCCCTGCTGGGAACTGGCCTGCAACCCAGGCATGTGCCCTGACTGGGAATCGAACCTTGATTTTTTTGGTTTGCAGGCCCATGCTCAATCCACTGAGCTACACCAGCCAGGGCTCCACTGTTGATAGAAAAAATTTGTTAAGTAATTTGCTTCATACCTGATATTTCCATTTCCAAGATTATATCTTTTAAAATAAACTTTATGGGAGTTGTGTTCCATTATCATAAGAAAGGTGCTGCTAAAGACTTCCATTTCCAGGAATGTCAAACTAAGTCATTCTGACGCGCTCTTCTTGCTAAGGCAGTGAAGGGTCAGAAACACAGTGAAGAACTTGAAGAATTGCCAAGCCTGGATCAGAATGAGGACAGAGTGAGACATTTGGGGCCACCTTTTCCTAGGAGACACTCTTCTATTCCAAAATGGGTGGCTGAGATACTGAAGGGTGCTTCTATCAGCTTCATGGAAGTTGGGGACCAGGGACTGGACTCCAGGTTCCGCCAATGGATTGGACCTGGTGAACTGCACTCACTGTGGGTTGGTTGGCACCTTAAAGAGCTGTACCCCAGAAGTGAGCATGACCTCTTCCAGCACTGATGTGGGGACTAAATGTGTTGCTTACTACGTTATGGTAATGTCTATATACTCTGTTACATAGAGCCAGTTTAGGGGTTATCGGGAATAATTTTCTCTATATTTTGAGTATGAAATAAATTCAGCACTGATTTTGAATTTGACACACAAGCCTTCACGTCAAATTAATAATAGCTTTTGGCCTACCACAATTATTTATGAAGGCCATCTTCAGGGCTTTAGAAAATGGCCAAGTCCCTGTCACACCTGCTCTACTGACTTAAGATTTAGTAATGAAGCCCTTCATTTGAACGGAGAGAAATGTCATGGAGTAAGGTCAGAAAACTCTTCCTGGTGTGCAGAAGGGATTTCAGAAGTACAGGAAGGTAGAGAAAGTTAAGAGAGAGGCAGGTACTAAAGCAAAGAGAGAACTCTGGATAAAAAAAAAACCTCGCATAGGGAAATCATCAAATTGTCGTGAGTTTAGATAATTATGTTCATAAACTGGCACTTATTTCATCCAATATCTAATAAAGGCCCTCAAAATCTATAAACACAAGAGACAAAGACAATCCAAGCACAACAAACTTTTAAAGTACAAAAAGTATTTGAGATGCCCGTTTTTCTGTTCTTGAACCTCTCATTTTAGGCTTAGAGATATAATAAGCATAGTATATACTATTACCAAATATAGGAGTTCTGATTTGCAGCCTCTGCTGTACTCATTTCCAAATAGTAATGGGGTGGTAGAGAGGAGAAAAAAAGAAAAAAGAAAAGCTTCCCCTTCTCCCAGGGAAGTTCTTTTTGTCATTATCTATTCATTTCATAACTATCATTTGAAACAAAAATTTCACGAGGTCGGGTTCTTGGTGATTTCTAGCTCTGCCTCTTACAGTGTAGGAGGCTACATTACAATACTTGGGCTTTAACACTGAAGCATCTCTTTCCATTTGTATTGTTTTCTAAGGTTTTATTTGGTAATATTCATCCCTTCCTGGTCCAAGTTCTTTCCTCTGAAGCAGTGATTTTCAACCTTTTTTTTTTTAATCTCAGCACACACAAACTAATTACTAAAATTCTGCAACACACACACAAATATATATTTTTTGCTGATCTGATAAAAAAAAACTTAGGTATACTTTTGATTTGTTCACAGCGGATGGCTACTGTTGTGTTCCATCATCATTTTTTTTTTTAATTTGACAATCTAAGGTAAAAAAAGTTCGGTGGCTCTGACTAGTCAGGTACTGCCTGTTTTAAAAATTCTTGCACACTAGTTGCAAGTTGCTGCTCTAAAACTTCAGAGAATAAATCTAATTTGTCCTTCACGTAGCTCCCAAACTTGAAGTTAGCCACCATATCAATTTGAAATCCATTTTCTTTCCTCCAGGTAAATACCTCCAGTTCCTTCGACTATCACATAAGTTGTCAAACTTTGTAGTTTTCATCATGTTTTACATGTGACTAAAGCAGGGCATATTCACTCTATTGCTTCTTTTTTCTAGATCTTTCAACTATTAAAATGCAATTATTTCTGTAGGCCAAGTCATGTCACTCTGTTGGGATCAGAACAGCAGTCAAATATCATTGCTATTTCTTCCCCATGGTAGACTCACATGATGGAATGTTTTAAAACTGAAGGGCAGGACTTCACGCTTCTGAGCATTCAATATGGGAGTTTTCAGCCTGCTGAGATCTGTGAATTGCCATTCATTGTACTATTGGTCTTCTCTAGAGTTATATTATTTGTAAGTTTAGTTAACTAACTTGTGCATGAAAACGAATTGCATGAGGTCAAGTACACAGGACTGATAAGTCATCACAGTTCTCTCCAAGTTGAGAGATTTAAACAGCCATGGTTACATTTGTGGTTCTCAAAACTTTATCATGCATCAGAATCACTTGGAGGGTTCATTAACACACATTGCTGACTTCATTTACTTCTGACTTTCTGAGGTTCTGGGGTAAGGTGATGAACACGTTTTGGGACCTTTGCCTGTTCAAATAGCTATCATCACACAGACAATGAGATTCTTTACAGGTCTCTTAATACGAGGTTTGGCTTGACTTATGCTGAATTCATGTTGATTCCAAAGATATATTTTGTCCTGGTATGCAAATTGATTAATTACATTATGGTTCTATTTCCATAATTTTAAAGCTTTCAGTGAGAAGGAAAGGATTAAGTATCAATAGTTCAATTGAGTTACAGCCTCAACTGGCCAAGTCTAGTAAGTCCAATGCTGCTTCCAATAAATGTTTAAATGTCAATATTGTCAAAGATTAAGTAAATTCTCCTGCAGAGATGTCGCAGTTTCCAAACATATCTAAATTCACACAGCTATTATAAACTAAAGAGAATATTCAGCCTTCCCAGTTTGATAATTTGTCAGCAACAGGCATTGAATTATAACTCCCAGGACTGACTGCCTATCAGAAAATGTGTCAAGGAAGAGAAATTACAAATGCCCTCTGGTGTTCTACAAAGAAGAAACACTGTAGATTTTGTTGTCAAAGTCCTTAAGACTCCACCCACAGAGTGAGATTGGCAGATTCTGGTACACAAGTCAAAGCAGTGGTCTAATTAGCTTTTGATAATAAGTACTATGTAATATGAGTGTAGCAGCTGTTCACTGGTCCTCCACCCTCACCACAAAATATGCTCAGACAACAATATTTTCACTTCATTTATTCATCAAAAACAAGTCATTTCATACAGCATTTGGATATTTAAGATCACATACCTTATAAATAAAAATCAATGCAGTTTAAGGACATTGGCAACAGCACATAAGAGGTGTACAAAATAAAACTGGACATCTTTCCAGTAGCAGCAGTGCATTAACTTTGAAAAAAAAATGTTGGCAAATAGACAAGAGAACATTTTTAAAACAAGAAAACACTGTCCATGTCATTAAGAAAACTATTTTCTTGTAACAAGAACATCAGAACTTTGTTCCATTTTGCTCTTCTGTACTACTTTCTCAAGTCATGGTCAAAAGCCCTAAGTCTGGCAGTTTTGTGGTTTTCTTCTTGTTTCAGGCAATTCCTCCTCTACTGCATTAATACAGAAAATGTACACTGCTCAACAAACTATACATATTTATTTTGCATTTTAAGCTGAATTCTTACTTTTCTTAAAGGAAGAATTACTTTTTGCTCAGGAAATCATATTTCCTGTAAACAACTTGGGTCCTGAATGGCACCACAGTGAACTGGGAAACTGACAAGAATCAGCTGCCTTGGTCCTTGTAGCTCACTGGCTGCAAATAACTATACCTCCTAGATCAGCTATAAAGTCAGGCTTACTTGTCTCAGTAGAGATTCTAAAGCTTTCTTAGTTTAACCTTTTCTTTTTTAACCTACAACTTAACCAAATCATATCTTCACTATCCCTAAACTCCTAGTTGTAGGTTTGTATCTTTTAAAAACAAGTATAAAAAGGCATCATACCAAAATGCTTATAGTCATGGTTTTACACTTGAATCACTAGCTTTTCAGCTATGATCCCGGTACATTCTAAGCCAAGAAATAAGGGATGGGGGGAGGATTAAGGTGACACAAGGGCATTGCTTGAAGAATTTCCCCAAAAGTGAAAATTCATGACTAGGAATGCATTCATCTGTGAGTCTCTTCTATTCAAGTGGTATTCTATCCTCCTGCCCCTTTCTCCCCTCACTCTAAAATGGCATGGGAGGGTTACTGGTCACCTAAATCAGAACCCCACAATTCAGTATCGATGCAATTTCTTCAAAGTTAATTAGTCCTAGCACTGTAAACAAAACACCAGTCAATTTTTGGAGAACAACAGCAAGAAATAAAACCCTTTCCCACAATCAGGGATTTACATTCTAAGTTGGGTGAAGTGTGCTAAAATATTATAACTTTTAGTAAGAAAACATCTTTAGTTAATAAGCTAGCTTATTCAAATCAAGTGCTTCCCTGTAGTCTTAAAAACGACGTTGCTTATTATGTATGGTACTTTTGAGGCCTCTGACTTAAAAATCAGCTTCTTTAAAGTAAGTCTGCTTAAAAACAAAGGAAGTTTTCAGAATCTAATCTTTTCAGAGTTAAGTCATCTTTGTGCTACAAGGAGCAATTTGAAACTGCACTGTACAATGGATAAAGAACAATCACATTATAGAAATAGGTAACATTTTGAATACTAGGGCACTGAGCATGCTTCTCATCGTTACTGAAATTGAGTGCTATTGTTACCAAAACACCAGAATGTTGTACTACTGGATACAATATACACTGATGGTAATTGTTGCTTATGAAGAGCTGACTGTAAGTAGCCCAAGGATTACATTTTAATGCCTTTAATAAGATCCCTGGGGAGGCCTAACATGTAAACTTCTATTTCATATTTTTAAAGTGCAGCAAATAATTCAAAATGCATGTTGCAACATATGAAGAAATATAAACCTTAACATATGAAAGTTTAGGAAGGCCACCTCATTGATTCGTAAAGAAAACCATCTCTCTGTTGCTGATCTTGCATACTCCCGGTCAATTTTTTTTCAAAGACACAGAAAACTATGTTTAGCTAGGGCAACTTTACTTTCAACATCCATGTTGTGAAAAAAGTCTACATAAGTAAGAAAAAACTTGGTAAACAAGATAGGCATGGATGCTTAGGGGCATGTATAGATAAATAATATTAACATTAACTCATTCCTGATTCTGTGGGAACTTGAACTTCATGCAATAATCAAGTGGCATAACTATACTACTTTTTGCCAAGAGGGTCAAGCCAACCAGCAGCCAGACTTTGACTGTGCCCATTTTTCATTCACAGGAAATAATTAAAAAATCAGCCACAAACCATTAACAGAAGAGGTACCACACTGGTGTCTTCATATGGCTATCAAATCACAAATTTCCTAAGGATATCATTTCAGCTTCTGAAATCACTCTCTCTAGAGTGCATCTTCAGAGCCCTACACCTAATTTTTCAATCCAAAAAGAATAAGGGAAAGAAGAGTAACAGAAGTGGGGAATGGAAAAGCAATCTTTATTTTGCCAGTAATGTAAACAATTCTCATTTTAGTTAAGAAAAAAAGTTCTTGTATGGTGGTTAAAAACAATGACTAGGAAGGGTTTCATTCTGCTCAAGTGCAAATTTGAGAAAAAGTTTCTGGCCCTGCCAGGTAGCTCAGTTGGTTAGAGCATCGTCCTGAAATACTACTGATGTTTCTCTCTTTCTCTCTCCCTTCCTCTCTCTCTCAAATCAATAAAGAATAAAAAAAGTATCTTTTAATCCTACTGCGAGTACTAACTCCCTAAGTTTTCACATTTCTCCAGATTAGAATTTGTATGTTAATACCCTAATTTCAAGAGTTTAGTAAGTGCAGTATAAAACTCTTATATTCTGTGAGGCTCATAATAAATGAGTTTAGAATGAGTACAAGCTTAGGGTTTAATCCTCAATGATTAAATCAAATAATCTGCAATCTCAAATTTTCCGTGATCAGAATATTAAAGTCCTAGTGCTGAATTTTAGCAGCTGATTAATTTAAAAAGCAATTTGACTAAGTATCAGTTTCCAGGTGGTAGACGACCTAGACAACAGGTAAATGAGAATAAAATAAGACCCCTACATAAACCCTTGACACTTGCTGTAATAGTGTAAGCTTAAACAAGCAAACAAAAATACTTAAGATTGAGGGGTTTAATTTTATAAAGTATCAGGTTTTTTTTCTTTCCATTTGTTAACATAATCCTATGTAAATAGAGTACACTCAATTTTAAAGTGAAAGAAATTTTGTTGGAAAACACATCAATAGATGCCTGGTAGATTATCAGTTACTCAATAAATATTTGTTGCATAAATATATTTCTCTAAAAGTACCTAAGAAAGGAAGGCAAACAATTTGATGGATGCTACCCAGTGTCGTATCAACTGACAGTTTTAAATTTAATATGTTCTGGGGGAAATAAGAGATACAAAAACCTTTTAGACTAGAGGACAGACAGGTACTAAGAGATTTTCAATCATATTCATCTATACATATTATGACTGTCAAACACTAAATATCACAAACTCACAAGTGTTATTTTTAAGGCTCAGGAAAATAGAAAATTAAATACTTTTAAGTTATACTGACCATAACAACTTTTGCCTAAAGCAGCTATTCACACCCAAGTTACTAAAAAAAAGTCATTTAATTATTTCAAGCATACTTTGTGAATTGTTCCTTAAGGGTACTTTCCCCTTAAATTGTTTACATGTTCCCTAATTTAATATGGCCACCTTCACCAGTGAAAAATGTTAAAAGTACCAACTTTTTAACATCTGTCAAGAAGATGTAGTGAAAGAGATTTAATACCATTGGTTTTCTAAGTGAAATACTTAATAAAAATAAATGAGACCAATATAACAAAACTTCACAACACTAAGCCTCTTCACATAATGTGAGATAATACATAACAAATTATAATTTAGCATCCCCGACCTTCAGAAGATTTACAAAAAGAGGTAGAAAACTTTTATCTGGAAGATCTCATAGTAAAGCTAAGTTTCAAAGGGTTTGCCTTAAGGACATCTAATATTAGGAAGAAGCTTATTCAGGTAAGGCAAGAATTTTAAAAATCTGTCATATTTTGGAAGTGAAACTAATTCTTTCAATATTATTACCTCAATCCCTTTAAAACTCTTCAGAAATCCAAGTAAAAGACTGTGGATAAGCAAAGTGCTTATTTGCAGAAAGGTGAAATTATTGCAAGAGCATCAGTGGCAGGATAAGGCTAAGATAAAAACAAATACTGTTTAGATAAGCAAAAGATCTCACAAAAACCAAACCAAAGCATATCATTATCACTTTAGATGAACATTTCTTTAGGAGTTGGAGGAAGTCTCTTAACAAAAAGCTGAGGAAATTAAATCCCTCCAAATCTTTATGTAAAAAGCAAAATTCAAGCATTCCAATTTTATAGAACTTCAACTAAAAAGACACACCCTGCTTAATTTTAAATTTTATCCAATGTGACAAAGATTAATAAATTTCATTAAAACACGAGGCCAATGTTCTTTTAGAGCTTCAGTAAGCTACTCAGGCACCTTTTCCCTCATACAATCTACTTTTATACATCAGACCTCCTAAATTGGGCACTCTCAGTTCCTGTTTTTAGTACCATTGTCAGGGAACAGACTCATCCCTGTAAAGATGCTTGTTATGTACTTACAATTGGCTAAGTACACATTTTACAAAGTCTACCAAACTGCAATATAAAAAGTTTTGACAATTCTGTGTATCTTCATGTGAAGAATCAATTCGTAATTTTGAAACTATTAGCTCGGAGTTTTTAAAAGGACTTAATTACTGGAGACATCGTGGTTTATGTCCAATGGCCTCACACCAGGCCTTCTGCGTTACCCAAAATATGATGCTGTTTTCTTCTACAAGCTAATGCTGCTGGGTGATAGTTTATAATACTAAAACTCACTCTTCAGGTTAGTGTCCGTCAGTAGCATGGACCATCTGTTCTGTCACCCCAGCAGAAAGAGGGCATGTATCACTGCTCTAGACACACATCTGTAAACTTGCACACCAATTTTAATCTTATCAAGGAATTTCAGTGCCTTAGTGGTTTTAAGTTAAAAGGATGGTTCAAGCATTGTGTTCTTTGTTCTTCAGGGTTGTGAATAGCTTATTGGAAGACCCAGAACCTTCTGGATCTGTGAGGTAGTAGGCTTTAATCCCCAGCATGCAGAGATCACACTTCTCCAAAGTTGGTATGGCCTGTTTCCTTGGCATGTTCCCTTGCTTCTGCTTGTCCAGTTAGTCCCTTTTGACATATCATGCATCGCAGGGTGAAGCGATTTATGTCAGTAAACTGTCTCTTTCTTCTAGCTTCATCTGCTAATTCCAGTGCTTGGACAAGGACAATATCGTCATTAGAGGAGAAAATGGTCAGAGGAGGGGTGTCTGGGTCAGCAAAGTTACGCTGAAGCGGGTCATAGTGGACACCATCATAAATAAGCAGGACCCTTTTAGCATATCCTGCATCTTCCCCAAAGCGATCAATTCTTACTGTCTGTGTATCTACTACACATATTTCGCATTGATAATATTTAGACAAAATTGATATCTCAATAGCTCCTCCCCAAGTATCATCCCTTTTGATCCATTCACAGTACTCTTGATTAGTTTTTCCTAGTATTGCTTCACTATAGAAATCTGTATCACTTGCTACAATTTGTGCTATGAGGCGTCTCATCTCAGGGGCACAAGCTGGATTCAAGACTCCTCCTTCAACAACATAGTATACACTGGTAAAGAGGCAAGAGTTGTCGGCTGGGACCACGGTTCTGGTAAGCACAGGCAACGTTTCCCTGACATAACTAGGAGCACCATGTCTGGTAAATGCAGGCGAACTGTGGGGCCTGGCTGGGTCTTCTTCAACGATCAGCATGTCGCCTGTTAAAAATAAAACATCCATAACTGGGGACAAATTATAGATCAAACTGAATGTTCACTAGCCAAGTCTATAAATTACAAACAGAAGGAGTTAAAGTATAAGCTGGGGTTACTGGGGAGAATATAGCTTTGCAAACAAGTGACCAGGAATATACTTCTTGCTCACTGAATCTTCATAAAGTTCAAAAGAGCAAAAACGCTTTAGGTTGAATTCCAGTTTTGTGAGGGGGCCTGACTTATACACCTTTACAGTTACTTAAAAAGACACATTTAAAGAATAAAATTTCCCTATGCTCCCTCTGTATTTACAAAGCACAAATCTTCCTCAAGGTATTTATTTATCATAGACTAGGCCACTAGGTGGTTCTCCTCTCTCTGAAAGTTATCTAGCCTTTTCGGTGTTTATAGGATCCTGGATACAACAGCAGAAAATTTTAATTAACAATATTGCTATTCAAGTTTTAATACGGGACAAGAAGAGCTGCTGTTGTTTAGAACTTGAGAGAGCCTTTAGTGGATGTGTAAAAGCAAACTCTAAAGTGAGTACACTTGTCAAAGTCAGTTTGTATGTAGGTGATTACAAACAAACCAGGAAAGCAAGAAAGTATCCTGCATCCTTTAGACATGCTATCTTTTTTTTCAGTGATAAAAGGGGAAAGAACCATCAGGACAAATAAAATAGATTCTACTTTTTTTATACTTTTGTAAATGCCGAGGGAAAACGAAATGAGTGACAAGTGTTCAAGATAAACCAGAAAGCAAACGGAGGAAGGGGGGACTCCAAAGGCTTTGAGCTTCTCACATAGTTTGGAACCTCTCTATCTCTTTCAACCATGGTGAAGTCAAGCGGTTGCTAGACACTTACCCGGGCCTCTGTCAGAATTCTCCATGCTTTACAGTATCCTTATTCTGGTCCTCAAAGCCCTGGGCTGACCAACAGCCACTGACTTGACCGTATCTCTGTTCTCCCTCACGCCCCTTGCTGTCCTCTCAGGACTCCCCCTGGCCCCAGCCTCCATCCCCTTACCTGATTGGATGGGCAAATCCCCCAGCATAGTATCCCCGTTGCTGAGATCCAGGCACTCGGGTGGGTATCCGACCAGGATACGCTGACAGCTAGGGGCGATCCCAGTGATTGCAGCAATTTGGCCTTGGAGTTCCCGCACCCGGGTCTGGCTGGACAAATCCTGCAAAACATAGGTGCCATCCTTGGCTTTGCAGCGGAGCCGCCACATCGTGTTGGTTAGGCCACCCATAGGCCAGGTACCAGTGGGGCCGGCTTTGGTCCCGGCAGCAGGATGGAAGACGCCGCCGGGACAAGCAGCCGCGGAGTGGGTTCCAAAATGGCCACCCTTTGCAGGGCCAAACATCGCGAGAAGTCGCTGGTGGCTACTGTTTAGAAACACTTTGGTGCAGCTTCTGTTTAAGCGCCTTAAGTAGAACTAACTCTCTTCAAGTGACAACTGACTTTTGTCCCCACCCTTCAGGAGCTGAAGGATGCTCAGTATTCCTTAAGAACAAAAGGCTCGCTACCTGTAAGGCCAGTGAGGTGCCCTCCGAGTCGGCAGCATATATGCTCAAGGAAAGAGGGCGGGGAAGGAGCTGCTGAATCCAGTACATTGGAATGTAATCTTGCACTTACTAAGGTCGGAAATTATTAAGCTGGGGCTTCTAAACCACCCCGGGAGAAACAGAATCATAGTTCAGAACACAAATGAATGCCAAGAATGGTCAGTGAGTCAAAGGACCTGCCAGAAATAACCAGACACTCGTGAATAAATTCATGGCTACAGCAAACATTGACTCATTGAGGTTAAGGGATGACTGGCCTTTCCACCTGCAAAGGACTGTAACTTGAAAACGTCCATTTGCCACATCAGAAAGAGCAGTATGAGGTCAGCCTCGTACTGAGCTATTGCCCTAGGCCCTAGGACAATTGATACTTTCAAGGAGGCAGTGGCAGTATAAGGAGAGGGTTAATGTGTGTCACCCGCATTCCAGTTCGGGCTCTGAGTATACAAACATGAAGATTCCACTCCTGCCTTCATTATAATAAATAATCACTGTAATCGGAAGAGAGGGTGGGGTGTAAAGAACACATAACCACTGAATTTCACAGCAACGTGATAATGCTAGATTATGTGACCCTCTTCAACCCTGTGTCCCTAGAACCAAGGACCGTGCCTAGCAAAAAAACGCTCAATAAACACTAGCCGAATGGATAAAGAAACTTGTAGAGCACAGAGTGCAATTATAAAATAATAAGAGTTGTAAGAGGCCTTAAAGAAGAGATACTCTTGGAGCTGGCTAGAGGATGAATTTAATCCGCAGGTGGAGGAATAAAGACACTTCTGAACTTACCTCTCTTCCAAGAAATCCATACTCATTGCTTTTTTCTTTTTTTCATCAGGATAGAGCACAAGCCCAAACCTGCGTAGAGGGGTTTATCAACAGAATCAAGCATCAAACGGACTTGGGGCAACTGAAAAGTTCACACGAAATGTGCAAACTCACCTCCACTGTAAAAGCCTCTACCCCTGAGTAAGTTATATGAAAACTCTGAATCTTTTCACATCTTTCACGACCCATGTTCCTGCTGGAGCGTTTTCCTCTTTGGTTCTTCAATATGACCATAACAGAAAGTATAGTGTGGGAGGAAGGAGGGAAAATAAAGGTAGCTAGAAGTCCACTGGAGTATGTGGACGGGTCCAGGGAAGTTCGCGGTTCAGCGATTAGCTGGTTTTCTGAGGTTACAGTGACTGGCCCAGGGGCAGGATAGATGCGATCAGCTCAAGTATTAAGGTAGACTACTCTAGCCAAGAGCCTTCTAAGTTTACGTTCCAATTTATGACTCTCACGAGGTTCCGCTGAGATTCACGGAAGGGTTAAGCGGCGCAACGTTTTCTCGTCATAAAAAGTCACACCCTCTCATTCTAGTCTACTCTCGCGAGAGTATAAAAAAAAATAATGCTTTTAATAAACCCCGCCCCCAGCCTTATTAGTTGCCAAGCAACGACGCAACCAACCTCCACAGTGCTGGGAAACAGGAACTTGCACTGTTTCCCGGCCTGTTCACAGTTCCCTCCTCCTGCAGGAGCCGCTGCAGAGATTCCTACTTGAGCCCCGCCCTTTGGAGTGTGCGGGCCCTGGATTGGTTGATGGTTCTCTCCAGGTGAGCACCTACGTGGGGGTGGGTGGAGCCAGGCTGTGGCACTAAAATTGCTGGCGACTAGTGTACCGGGCCCCAGGCCACAGTCTGTGGGCTCCTGTCTGCCGTGTTACGGGAGAAGTGCTGGGGCCACTGCCAGGAGGGACTTTAGGGATCATAGGGTGAGCGACAGCTGTACAGCGAGCGCATGGAAGATCCCAGGGAGGTCAGGAGGAGGGGGGCTGCGTGCACCCGGATGAGGTGCGTGACGGTGGTTCCTTGCTGTTTCGGGGGAGTGCGGGTCCCCAGACCTAGCCCGGAGTACGGACATTCAGAGACTTGGAATCGCAGGTGGCGTTTGGATTGGAGGATTTGAGTGGTCAGTGGAAGAACAGTGCAATATCCTTAAAGCACTAGGACCTTCCTTCCTCAGGGGTTCCTTGTCTGGGTTTGGGGGTGAGCTCAGGGCTCTCCCACCCCATTTCAAGTCGGGATTTTACCTTTATTCTGTAGGTGACCTTGAGGAAGTCATTTACCGCCTCTTTGTGCCCCAGTGTTCCCTCCAGAGACTTTGTAACGGGTAGATGGGGAGAGGGTGTGGAGCAAGAGTTTGAGAGTAAGAACAGCAGAGGAGAAATGGTGCTGTGCTGGAAATGGGGTGTCCAGTTACAATTTTTCCTTCTGGAAACAAGTTTGATATTTTCCCACTTTCTAATTTTTGGCAGGACTGAATCTTACCATTGGATAGCCATTTCTTTGTGATAATGAACATTATCTGTTCACAGCCCACCTCACACCCCAACTACTGCCACTTCTCTCTCCCCAGGTTCTTAAACTAGAATTTGAGGTCAGGAAGGAAGTCGGATGAGCCACTTAAATTGATTGACCTCAGTTTTTCAGTCTGTAAAACGGGAAGAAGTAATAATGGTAGCCTTACTAGGGGAGTATTGGAAAGATTGGGGAAATAATTTATGTGAATGTAACTCCTAAATCAGCATTATAAACGCAGGGTTCTAGTGCTGTTATTTATAAGTAGATGACGAAACAGAGGGGTCAGAGTTCATGACTTAACCTAGGGCATGTGGCTATTAACTGGAGAAAGAGGGCTGAACTTGACTCTTGGCCCAGAGTGTTTTCACTTTTCCACACTGATCCTCTTCACCGGGTGTTCTGAAGGATGTCTTCTTCCTTCCCTTTCTTACATCCCTTTTGTCCCTTGCAGACATTTCCTGAAGAGCTGCCATGTCTGGGAATAATGTGTCTTCCTCAGAACAGAATAGCAGCTGTGAAACAAAAACCTCAAATCTTCGAATATCAGAGAAGAAATGTTGTAAGTTCTGGCAGAAAGGAGAGATTGCTTTCTCCCTGAATTTTATCTTGGAAATATTGTTCTAATCCTAGACTTTGCTGCTTGGTGAGTGGGAAATAATTCTTTGGTATGGAATTTAAAACAGAGTCTACAAGGGAAAGTTCCTGACTGAAACAACTAGACCCAGTGAAATATTTGTCCCTGGGGTAGACTGCTGTTGTATCCCAGCGTTTTCTTATTGCTTTGCTTTACTGAATTTCTGTCTCCTGAAGTATCTGCACACTTGTTGAAAGTTAGGGCAAGCGTTATTAGTACAATCTGTGGGTAAGGCTGAGTGGCAGTATGCAGGACCTTTGTTTCTTGGGCTACATATTGTGAGGGTGCTGCTCACTGTAGAAACAGCAGATAGGGCCCTGGCTGGCTGGCTCAGTGGATTGGGTGCTGGCCTGGGGAGCAAAGGGTCATTGGTTTGATTCCCAGTCAGGGCACATGCCTGGGTTGTGGGCCAAGTCCCCAGTTGGGGGTGTGTGAGAGGCAACCACACACTGATGTTTCTCTCCTTCTGTTTTTCCATCTTTTCTTCTCACTCTAAAAATAAATAAATAAAACCTTTTAAAAACAACCCGCAGATAGGAAAAATAGCTCATTTCTACAGCTGTCAGTGGAATCAGCCCTTACATTTAACTTTTCACTGTGCTTTGGGCATTTACTTTCTGACAGATTTAGCCTTTGAACTTTGCAAACTGTGTTCCCTACTAGTTCATCCCTCTCGGGACAGTTTCACATGAGTATTTTAGTGCCAGTTCTTTAGATAGAGATGGCAGGTGGGATTGCAGAGAGATGAAGCATCTGTATTCTTAAGCATCCTTATAGACCTCAACAGTGCATAGCCCAATTCCAGAAGGTCCTGAGCCACTGAGCCCCATATGTCTTGGGGAACCTAAAAGAATGGTAAGCTTTCTTCACCGATACCAGATTGCATTTTCCTTTGGAACCCTATCAGCTCTTTTTCACTTCAGTGGTTATGTATATCAGCAGGTAGAAATAGCTGAGCAGCATGAGATCTGGAATTCTCTCCTGTTCAAAGCTTTCTCCAGAGTCTCCACCTAGATGTCATGCCCTTGTCAGTCTCATGGTTAATGATGATAATCTCTTTTCACCTGGCACTGAAGAGGCTTGAGGGGCTTTGGGCTGTAGCCGAGGCAGGTTGTTGGGATGTGATACTGGGGTTGGTGTACCTCTATGATTTGGGTCTCCTTTCTTTGCCAGGACAGGAAGCTAGTTGCGGAGGGCAAATACCCCACGGGAGATAACTAATATAGTGTGATGTTTGAGAGAAGCCCTGGAGTCAGACTGCTCGGGTTTGAATCTGGGATTTAATACTTCCTAACCGTGTGTCCTTGAACAAGTTTGCCTATCTTCTTCATCCCTCAATTTACTCCTTTATAAAACTGGGACATGGATACTACCTCCTCTCAGAGTGATGTGGAAATTAAATGAGTAAATATAGGAAAGCACTTACAAGAGCGTTGGGCACCTGGCTGGTGTAGCTCAGTGGATTGAGTGCAGGCCTGGGAACCAAGCAACCATGGTTCGATTCCCAGTCAGGGCAAATTCCTGGGTTGCAGGCCAGTTCCCATCAGGGGACTCAGAAGAGGCAACCATACATTGATATTTCTCTCCCTCTCTCCTTCCCTTCCCCTCTAAAGATAAATAAATCAAGTAAAAAAAAAAAAAGAGCGTTGGGCACATAGCTATACTGCCATTATTTTTTACTGGCAACTCTATTTGCATGTTGTGTTTGTTTTTGAAGCATTGAATGAAAATTGAATTGTAGACTTAAATGCTGTGCTGGGAGCTCGCTAAAAGAACTCTGTGAGGAATTATATTTTCAGTGAAGAATACTTTCTCCTCTTGTTTGACAATATCGTAACCCAGTTTTGGGGTACAGATGCATGTCTCAAAGAGAGGTGCACTTGATTCAGAAGGGAGCGAGAGCTGGTGTGTGTATGTGGGGGGGGAGTTGGTAATTGTGGGAGTCTCTGACCCTACCCAATGCCTAGTGTCAGTCCTTTATTCTCCAAAGGAATCTCCTACCTGACTTGACTCTTCTGCAGTTTTTCTTGCTTTGAGGGCTTTTGATTAGCCAAGGAAGCAGTAATCCCAGGTCTCAGGTCCTCTGGACTCTAATTCCTGGACTCTGATATTTCTTTCCCAGCTCCACCCTGTTCTGCCTCACTGGTAAAGGTTGGTTTGTCCTAAAGCTACTGTCCTTCATTTAACCCATTCTCCCCTTCCGGTTAGACTATGAGACTGTTACAGCCACAGTCAAAGGAGAAATACAGTTGTGAGAATATGTGTTAGTTCATTTCCTTTTTCTCTGTCATTTGCCTATATCTTGGAACAGGCTGCCTTGACTGCTCAGTGTTCACACCCACCAGTTGCTTTATTAATAGCTCAGCTATAATTCTCTCGCTGCTAATTACACCTATGTTGGCTGACTTTGACTCTGGGAAGTGAGGAAGCTGGAGGATGGAATTACTTTAGGGAGCCAAAACCTCCAAAGGAACCTTGCTGGAACTTCAGCTGCTCTAGGGATTGGGGTGAAAGGGAGCGGTGATGGCTGAGGTGTCCTTAAGGTGCTCAGATGGCTGCCATCAGGGCTCTAGGAAAGAAGGGCTGTGTGCGGGGAGAGGTCTACGTGCCTTTCTCTGTTTCGTCTGTTCCTGAGTATTTCGATAGGTCTGGGACAGACAAGTTCCCATGTGTACTTTGCCCCAGCCGCAAGAGCAATGCATGTTCATCAACTATTCAAACAACACAGAGAGCAAGTGAAAAGTAAAAAATCCCTCACAATTTCTCCTGTCTCTGTTAAGTCTAATTCTTTCCAGCATCTTATTCTGGTATATCCTATTAATGAAATATGGTTCACACTGTACATACTTGGTTCTGCTGCCATTCTCTCCCTCCCTTTTAAAACTTACTTAGAAAATGTCTGGGACATTTTTTTCTCACGTCAGTAAATCCAGATTTACCTCATTTTGCACAGTATTGCATTGTATGGATATGCCGGTCTCCCACTGATGGACATTTCCATTTCCAGTTTTCTACCATCACAAACAATACTGCACACACTGTTGCATGTGTGTTCCAGCAACTTTTCTACAGAAATAGTAAAAGAAAAGATAGACACATTTAAAATGTTGATCAGCATTATTAATATACTGACCTACAAAGTTCTACAGTGTACACTGATTTTAATGTTTCAGAGTACTTAAAGGACTTGTGCATTATTAATTACAGCTGCACTGATTAATGAAAACATTAACTTTCTTAGTGCTTTGCTACAGAACTTGGATATTTTGTACCTATTAAACAGTAGGAAACAGTTGAAAGTTTTAGGACTTATGATGAATAAAAATAAGCTATTACTTATGAAACACAGTTTAATGGACAGCATATTTCCAAAAATGTTGGGTCTACTTAGAACAAATAGTGGAAAAAGACCTTGGTCATGAAAAGGCTGAGAACCATTGGTCTTCTAGACCACTCTTTAGGAACTGGTTAGAGCACATGGCTGTGTTCATCAAGGTCTCCCTTGGTCAACTGCTGACCAGAGCTTGTGCCCGGGGCTGGAAGGGCCATTCTGAAACCAGGAGTCTGGTCAGAGCCTGGTCCTTGACCTTGACTTTTTACTGTGGGCCATGCTCTTCACTTCTCTGAACTTGAGTTTTTCTGCCTATAGGAGAGAGGTTAATCAAGCCCTCATCTCCTCCGAGTGTGTTCATGAAGGGGAAACAAGTCTAAGATTGAGAAAGTGAGTTAAACCTTGTTTAAAGAAGATAGAAGAGAATTTCAGGATTGAAACAACTTTCCACTGTAACATTGCCAAGGGGTGTGTTACATTGTCTCTGGAATTAATCAGCATAAAATATCTACTATTGAAATGAAGTTGGTGGTTTTGTTTATTTATTTAATTTTAATTGTTGTTCAAGTACAGTTTTCTGTCTTTCACTCCCATTCCAGCCCACCCCCCCATCCCTCCCCATGTTTTATTTTTTAATAGGCAGGACAGTATGTTCCTAGTTCTGCTCATGTGGCAATTTGAGATAGGAAGTGTAATTTAGGGTTGTATTCCGGAAAATGAGAAACTGGTTGGCAACGTGTGTGGGTGTGCCGTGGGCAGAAGCAGGAAGTGTAGCGGTTGGGGGCACTGTGAGGATACATTAGAGACCTGTGTTTTTTTTTGGTCTGAGCCCTCTCTGTCCAGAGTGGTAAACACAGAGCAGCTGGTTACCTCCCAAGAATTAGTGTATTTTCCGCCTTAGGGAGGGTATCAGGACCTTTGGGGAAGTGCCTAATGGGCTGGAAGGTGTGACAAAGCAGGCCTAGAAGTGCAGGTAATGAGCCAGATCATGGGGGATTGAGGCACTGAGCTGGAGAAAGTGAAGACTCAGGAGGATTTAGCTACCAAAACCTGAGGCAGCTGATCCCAGGTAGACAGATCTGCCTGACGCGGGGTCACAAGTCAGAGATGAGCATTAGCTGAGGCTGCAGGGTGAGTTCTCTCGCCTCTGTGCTGCAGATTCGGACAGGTGAAAATCACTTCTGGAGCCCAGGCCAGGTATTTTCTATGTGCACAGTGGGTGAAGGACAAAAGCCAGGCCCCCTCTGTTCACACGCCTATCCCTCCCTCACCACTTGGGCCATGTTTTGGCTTCTGAGTACTTCATGCCAAACACCCCTAGGAAACTCTCTTTGCCATTGAGACCTTTTTACATTCTTTTCCCAACAGATAAAAGATGAAGTTTCCATCCAAGTCCCCCTATTTTAGACTTATAGGGCCACCCAATCCCAGGATAGAGCAGCAGCAACAACTCGCCCTTGGGAAAGCAGTGCTGGGGCGCGAAGGTGGTTCTTTTCCCCTCCTGTCGTCAGTTTTCACGTGGAGAAGCCAGCAGAGTCTGAGCCTCCTAGACCTCCTAGATGAGGTCTCCTAGACCTCATTTGGGTCTTGGCCCTAGGAGAGTGGCTGGCAGCAGTGGGGGGCCCTCGCCTACCCCTCCTGCTGAGCCAGACCCTGTGAGCAAGCCAGCTGAAGAGAAATCATGGGGTCTTTTTATGGGGAAAAGCCATGGAGGAAGCACCAGATTGGACTCGTGCCAGCCCTTCCTATGTCTTACTGTGTGTCCAGAGGCGAGTCACCTGACTGACTCTGAGTATCTAGTTTGCCCTGCCTGCCCAGTGAGACCTATGTCGAAGGAGTATTCCTAAAATAAGTTTCCAAAGAAGGGTAGGCCAATTCCTGCTTCTAAATTGTCTTGCTTTCATAAGGGCCATTGAGGCAGGGTGGCCGTGATGCCCTTGTGGGCTAAGCTTTACTAAAACTTCCTGAGGTCTAGTCAGAACCTGTGTCTAGTAGGCTTTTTCACAGTAGTCTAAATCTTAGTGTAGTTTAGAAATTCTGACTTAAGATCATGTCCTGAGTGCAAGGCCTAAGCAACTTGAAGCCAGGCTCTTTTTGTGGTGGGCAAGCTAATTCCTGCCCATGGCTCTGAAGGGATAAGTGAGGTCCTCAGCTGAGACACTCTGTTGGACCTGTATCAGAGTCTGCTCAGTTCCGCACTGGCAGGGTCTCCCGATACAGTGGTATCATACTTGTGTTAAGCAAGGTGCCATGGTTACTGTCTTTTGAACTATTTCCCCCTTGGGTACCTCTGCAAAGACCTTGGTCTTCTTTTGGGAACTTTCTGCAAGTCTAGATGATCCTTTAACTCTTTCAGTAGGGTTTGCTGATAATTCTTCACTTTGCCTTCCCTGTCTATCTGGGCCATTGCCTCACTGAGGTTTCTGGGGATTAAATAATAATATAACTATGAAGTTGATAGCCCAGTGCTTGAACCTTACTTGGCCCCTAGTCATTTAGTTCTATTCTGTTCTAGCGTGGGCATCCTACATGACCAACTCCCCGACTCTCATTGTTATGATTGGCTTGCCGGCCCGGGGCAAAACCTATGTGTCCAAGAAACTCACACGCTACCTCAACTGGATTGGGGTGCCCACCAAAGGTAGGTGCAGGCCATTCATTCTTTGGGAAGGGAAATGATCACAGGCCTCTGGGGGACTTATTCTTGGCACCAAGGTTACAGGGTGCTCCTGGCAGCAATAGCAGTTGCATACTGACTTATGAAATTTATTCCCTGTTCACAGACTTGTTTCCTTCTGGCCTAGTTGTGAGGAAATGCCTTGGATAGTATACACTTTACATTCAAAGCCCTTACATATATATCATCTTTTTTAATCCTAGCAGTACCCCTGTGAAATAGCAGAAGTGGCTGAGAAAATTGAGAAAGACTCAGTTTAAAATGTCCCCGAGGTCTGTAAGTCTGAACTTGAGTGCAACTTAACTCTTCATCTGGTATCGTTCCCAGCATACCGTGGTGCTTTTTTCATCACCTTGGCCACTCTGACATTAGATCAGGATGTTCCCTTTGGTGTTCCTCATTGCATTGTTTCACTGCTTGAAGGGTGTTGGTGTCTTCTGCAGTGTTTAATCTTGGGGTTTATCGGCGTGAAGCAGTCAAGTCCTATAAGTCCTATGACTTTTTCCGGCACGACAATGAAGAGGCCATGAAGATCCGCAAGTGAGTCTTCTTGGGCCTCACCTTCTTGGCCATCACAAGAGTGGGTGTGATGGGGCTTAGTTTTCCTTTCAGTAAATATCCTGTGGAAATTTTAAATGGAAGTTATTTTCTGGCCTGGTCAACTTTGGGCTTGGGTGGGTAGAAGAACAGGGCTTGGGGAGATACACGCATACTCGTAGGTTAGGTCTTTGGAGGGATAAGATGTATGCATGGGGCAGGGGAACGGAAAAGATGAAGGAGATAAAAATCTCAGTGGGAAGTTGAAGGGTCTTGTTAGGGAAGTTTTTGAACAGTGAGAAAGCCAAGAAGGAAGGAACGTGACTTCTACAGCAACTGAACTGCTCATGTCTCTGGCTATGTCTGAGCTTGGCCTCACTGTACTCCTCTTGCTGGTTTCCTCTGCTCTCATGGCAGACAGTGTGCTGTTGTGGCACTGGAAGATGTTAAGACGTATCTCACTGAGGAGAGTGGGCAGATTGCGGTAAGTCTTACCTACCTCTTCCCATCTTGGTCTCCACCCTCTCAAAGCTGCATAGCCTCACCTTGGGTCTGCCTTGGTGGGATCTCATTTCTTGTGCCCCACTCATCTACCTTGTGGGCTCTCTTCCCAGGTGTTTGATGCCACCAATACAACCAGGGAGAGGAGGGACATGATTTTGAATTTTGCCAAGGAGAATTCCTTCAAGGTAGGATCTGGCTTCATGCTGGAGAAAGAGGGATAAGTAGGGGTGGGAGTAGGGGTAGAAGGACCCTGTGGATCTGTTTGAGTCTGATGAGCGAGGACAAGGTTGGGTATCTGATTCTGTCCTTATGGGGAATGCCCCCAGTTCTTGAGTGTTTTCTTGCAGGTCCTTTCTCAGACCCTTAGCCTGTGTGTCTGAGGCCCTGGGGATGTGGTAAGAATTATTTTTAGATGAAGAGGCCTTGAAGGCACTTTCATTAAAGAGAATCCTCTGGAATGTGGTGGCTGGGGTGGGGCAAGTATGAGCATGTACTCCTAATGAACAGCTGGGCCATTTTTGATTCATTTATTACTGTCCTCTCTTCCTGGCCAGGTGTTCTTTGTGGAATCTGTCTGTGATGATCCTGATGTCATTGCTGCCAACATCCTGGTGGGTGACTCTGCATACCACCACCTCTTTACCCTCTGTGCCTTCTGTGTGTGGAGGTGTGGTGGGGAGGGGGTGGGGGAGGGGGAGAGTCAGCTGGGAAGAAATAGACAGGTTTAACATCACTGATTGATCTGTTTGATCTGCCAGAGCACCATTTTGTACTTCCACATTCTTGGAAGAGGAAACTGAGGCTTTGACGAATAAAGTATGAATTAGTTGTTGAATGGAGACCAAAACTTAGATTGTAGGATTTCCAACCCAGTGTTCTGGGCTGGATACTGAGACCTGGGAATTTAAAAAAAGTAGACCAGACTCCTCATTATCTGTCAGGGGTAGACGTCACCTTCTAGGAAGGTCATCGGCCCAGCAGTTGTGTAACAGGTTAATGCTCTACCCACACTGAGTGCCTCATGCCCCATGTGGGCAGAGTATAAACCAGTACCCGTTTGATGGGTTGTGCTCTGCTGAGTAGGTGTCCATGCATGGTATTGTGGTGGTGCTGTCCCAGCAACACTGGAACTTGGAACCATCTAAAGTTCTAAGAGAGGCATCTGGTCCAAGTCAGGCATGCAGCAGGTCAGGCCCCCTATTCTAAATGGTTGTGAGGAGAAACTGAAGCACATTCTGTTTCCCCAGGAAGATAAAAGAAGGGATTGGAAACCAGCAGCAGCTTCGGCTGCATGATAGCCACTGTCCTGCAGCCAAGGACAGGCACATGACTCCCCAGTTGTCTTTCCCTTCTTGGTTGCCAGGATCATAGGACCATATGGGGGTGGTGCTCAGGGAATGGGGGTTGCCAGCGCTGCAGTGAAACGCCACTACTGTGGACTTCCTTTTCTTTATTTGGCAGTTCCTCTTTACAGGAGGGCTATTGAAGGCAGACCTCTGACTGGGTCCTGCTCTTTTGTGATTCCAGGAAGTGAAGGTGTCAAGCCCCGATTACCCTGAAAGGAACAGGGAGAATGTGATGGAGGACTTCCTAAAGAGAATTGAGTGCTACAAAGTCACTTATCGACCCCTCGACCCAGACAACTATGACAAGTAAGGTTTAAGGCCATGGCTCAAAGGGCATAAATAGGGATCGCATTTGAGAAAAGAGCCTTTCTCTCTCTGTCTCCAAACTTCCTTCTGATATTCCAGCCCCATAATGTTTCTGTCACTCCAGAGAAACAAGGTGTGGATTTGTGGCCTATTTGTGGGTTACATCTTATACTTGCACACTGAAGGTTGTTTTTTTTTTTTTTAAATGATCAGTCTTTTTCTCTGTCCTCTAGAGCAGGGTGTCTCAATCTTAGCATTATTGACATCTTGAACTGGATAACTCTTTGTAGTTGGGGGTTGTCTTGTGCATTGTAAGGTATTTAGCAGCACCTTGGCCTATCTGCTCACTAGATACCAGTAACTTTCAACCTGTGACAAACAAAAAAATGTTTCCTGACATTGCCAAATGTTCCTGGGGAACAAAATCACCCTCGGTGGAGAAGCACTGCTCTAGATCATAAATTTTGAGCTAGGGTATTGTTAGGACACCCCTTAGAACTGTATCACCCGTTTTCGATAAATTTTAAAAGTGTATTATATATTATATGTATATATAAATATAAAACAATACACATAAAATGTACACATGTATATATGCATGCAGTATATGTTATTTGTTATGTGTAACTTGTAACAGAAAACACTATATATTACATATTTATATGTAATATATACATATTTTATAATACATATTTATATATTACATATATAAATAAAACATGTAAAGTCCTCAGCAACATGCTTAGCTTAGGGAAATGTCTGATCAGTGCTAGCTGTCATTACCATGGCAGCATCTGACAGCAGAGTGGTATACAATATAGGTTAAGTTGATATGTGCAAGGTATAGGAGCCATAGCAAAATGTCAAGTTCAATTTGAAGAAAGATGTGTGCACGTGGAAAGCTATGAGAATGTGGCCTTTGAAAAGGGAAGTGGTCAGAGCAGTTATCAGCTCTGTTCAAATACAAATACAGCCCTGTAGCCAAGCAAATGAGACAAATGTACATAACCCACTGTTTAATCACTTCAGTGCTCTGCTTTGAGTCAGTTCCTTCAAGGGGCCACCCAGAATGTTACTATTTGGAGGGTTTTTTTTTTTAAGGTTTTATTTATTTATTTTTGAGGGAGGGGAAAGGAGGGAGAAAGTCAGAGAGAAACATCAGTGTGTGGTTGCGTCTTGTGTGCCCCCAACTGGAGACCTGGCCTACACCCCAGGCATGTGCCCTGACTGGGAATCACTCCAGCGACCTTTTGATTCACAAGCTGGCACTCAGTCCACTGAGCCACACCAGCCATGCTGGAGGTATTCTTTATTCAGAGGTTGAGAACCACTGCCCTAGATATGGCACAATAGTGTGTGCTTTAGTTACCCCCAAAGTCCTCACAGAAAAACATCCTGGAAGAATGTGTGTGTGTGTCTGTGTGTGTGTTTGTACATGTTCTCTCTGTTGGTAGGTTTATGCATAATTTTTATCCACATCATTCTCCCTTTATTTTTGAAACTTTTTTGGAATAAATTCTTCTTATTTTTATAATGAGGTAAATTCCATGGTGGCCACAGAGCAAACAATCCATGGAAGTACCTTTGAGAGAGGCATGATTTAGGTAGATGCTGGGAATGCACAGAGACCTCCATGGTTCTGCCTCTTCCTGCCCCCATCCCCCCGCCCCCCCCCCCCCATTACTGGTGATGTTGCACTCTGGCCAGGTCTCCACCACCCCAGGTGGGGGTTGTGCTTCTCACCCAATTTCAAGGTTAGCAAAACCTTCAGGTCATCTCGTGTAGCCCCTGAGGGGAAGCCTGAATTGTTTATCATACTTATGACATTCATGATAGAGTGTAGGCACTGAGGGGCAGATCAGAAGTTTGGGAGATTTTATTCATCTTAGTTCTGAGGAGCACTTAAGCTCTTACCATTCTGCTCCTTAAATGTAGGGGGGGGGGCTACCACAGGAGGGGAGGGAGAGCTGCTGTTAGCTTGTGAGTATCTATGAAATCCTTTTTCCCGCTACTGTTTGCCTCAGATTTTCATACCAGGGGATTTTTTCTTTCATCAGGGATCTTTCTTTCATCAAGGTGATAAATGTGGGCCAGCGATTTTTAGTGAACAGAGTCCAGGACTACATCCAGAGCAAGATAGTCTACTACCTCATGAATATCCACGTGCAGCCCCGCACCATTTACCTTTGCCGGCATGGAGAGAGCGAGTTCAATCTCTTGGGGAAGATTGGGGGTGACTCTGGCCTCTCGGTGCGGGGAAAACAGGTGAGTAGTTAGCCAGCAGGCCAGATTTCCTAGGGTTAAGAGTTTTTCCTGAATTCCACCAGGGCTTAGGATCAGGATGTGGTTTTGGATGGTCAAGGAAATGCTAAACACATTTTCTTGTCCACTGATTCTAGCTCTGTATTGAAGCGTGGATTACTTGGAACCATTTCTGCTGTGGTAGTTCAACCATCAGGTTTTTATTGGGTACAACTTGTGTGCTTAGCAGAGTACAGGGTGCTCTAGTTGAAGCTGGTTTCCAGCTTGGGTTCATTGCTTGTATCATCTTCCAGATTTTGACTGCGGTCATACACATTTTCCCTTATAGGCTGAGTTAACAGTTGTGTGTATGTGTGTGTGTGTGTTTTCTTTTTTAAAATTCTTATTCCAAACCCCAGTTTGCCCAAGCTCTAAGGAAGTTTCTGGAGGAACAGAAGATAGCAGATCTCAAAGTGTGGACAAGCCAGTTGAAGAGGACTATCCAGACTGCTGAATCCCTGGGGGTGACCTATGAGCAGTGGAAGATTCTGAATGAGATTGATGCTGTGAGTAGGAAGCTTTGATGGCCAGTATGGTCTCCTGTTCAGGCAGGAACTCTCAGAAGTCACAATGTGGGCAGTTTTATCTAAAAACTAGAACCACCAAGTAGAAACTTTGAGGAAGTTGAAACTATGGCTGGTTTGGGAGGAAGTAGGAACATTGCACCCCTAATTAGAGCTTCCTGTCTGCTTGAGCACCTGTGCCAAAAATGGGACCCAAAGCAATTTTTGGGTGCCTGGGGAGAGTGGAGCTCCACTTGGTTCTTTGGTGTATTTTCTTCCTGGGAAAAGGAAATAGCCAACAACATTCATTTCTTTAATTTCTGCTTAGATCATTTGGTCAACTGTTCTGAAAAAGTCCTTTCCAAATTTTTTCTTGGCTTTCTCTGTCCTTGAGCACAAAAGTAGGCATTTCCTTCTCTTTCTCCGTATGCTTTTATGCCTTCTGCAAGAATTTTCCAGTCCTTTCAGTTTCTCCTCCTTCCCTGCTTCCTGCTCCCTTTATCCTGCTGACTTTTCTTGACCTTTAAATTCCCCACAGTAGTAGGAGAAAGTGGCAGCTTACGCTAGAGAAGCTGCCCCCTCTCTGCAGTGTCCCTCACCCTGCCAGTCCCAGGTACCCTGACCAGTCAGTTGCAGGACATGAAAGGCCCCGGCACAGTGCCTGGCACGTAGTAAGAAACTAGTATTCTTCAGTGTTGTCTTCCTTATTGGGTGGGGCTGTATGGATGAGTCCACTTCTATAAGCCTGTGTGGTTCCTTGCAGGGTGTATGTGAGGAGATGACCTATGCAGAAATTGAGAAGGAGTACCCAGATGAGTTTGCGCTTCGAGATCAAGAGAAATATCTGTATCGATATCCTGGTGGGGAGGTGAGATTCCCTTCATGTGGGGTGACTTCCCAGCCCTGTGCTGGGGGTTTTAGTGTTAATTTGGGGGAAGGATTGAATACAATTTTGGGGATTGAGAAAGCATACTTAAGTCATCATTAGTTTATCCTCCCACCTTGGGTCATACTGTCTTTAATTCAGCTTAGGCAGTCAGATGCCTCATTAGTTTGTTAAGATCTCTAGGGAAAAGATGGACAAGATATACAGTGTTCGATATATTGTAGAATCAATATGATCTTCCATTGTATTTATTTATATTAAAATTTTTTTTTTACAGATTATCCAATTGTTGGCATATAGTTCATAATATTTTAAAATAATCTTTTGTATTTCTGTGGTTTTAGTTGTTAGATCTTTGGTGTATTTTTTAATTTTTATTTATTTTATTTATTGGAGCAACATTAGGTAATACAATTATATAGGCGTATAATTCTATAATACATCATCTGTAATGATCTTTTTACTTCCTTTTTGGCATTTCACCTCCTCAGTCGCACCTGCAGGTGTGGGTACTAAGTAAATATATGGGCTGTGAATGATTTCCTTATCATCTTCAGTGTTTTTGGCTGCTTCCTGGTCTAAGTGGCTTCATAGCTAGGGATGTGTGAGGCAGAGGTAAATAAACAGTGTGGCAGAGGCCCAGGAAACCCCTCAGAGCCCCTTGTCGCCTTATACTTTGCCTCGTTTATTGGGGGAAAAAAACATGCTGAATTCAGATTTTCTCTTCTTGGCTATAGTTTTTTCAGTGTGAATGTTACTCTTGGAAGGTCTGAATATTCTTAAGAGATACCAGGGTAGGGGGAGTTAGCAGGCGACCTGAAGTTGCTGAACCTGCAGGAAGAAAGCCAGCCAGGGGTGAAGGGGCAGTGGCCTCATTACTCTGGATGCAACCACTGACTTGGTTGCCAGCTTGCACCCGGCCTCCTGCCAGCCTGCCCTGCTTCCCTCCACAGTCATACCAGGACCTGGTGCAGCGGCTGGAGCCTGTCATCATGGAGCTGGAGCGCCAGGGCAACGTCCTCGTCATCTCCCACCAGGCGGTCATGCGCTGTCTCCTGGCCTACTTCTTGGATAAGGGTGCAGGTGCCATTGACGGAAAGGCTGGGGGACATATTCATGGGAGGGGACTAGACTTGGGATAGCACTAGGATCCCTGGCAACTGGACTTCTCCCTCTTTCACTCCAATTCAAGTACATTCTTTAGGCAGCAGTATGGGGCTCCCAGCAGCCACTGGGCCAACTATTTGCTGAATTGATGCTGCTGGTACAAATGTCCCCAGTGGAGAATGGTTGCTGCTGGAACTCCTCTGTCCTGCTTGGCTGAAGGGTAGCACTGAGCTGACACTCCTGGAAGCATCAGAGAAGTGGTTGGATATTTCCAGCTTGCTCCTTTGACTACAGGGAGGGTGGTATCTTAGAAGCATCTTCATCCTTTGGATTCAGGGTAGGACAGTTTCTGGGTAGAGCCCAAAGGAAGTGCTGCTGCCTTCTCTGACACTTCCTTTCCTGAGCTACCTGATCTGCTGGGAAGCCCACAGCTTGTACCCTGGTGTGCCACCATCTTCCTTTCTGTGGGGTCCTGGCTGCAGCACTTACTCCTGTTTTGTCTGCATGGAAGTGTCTAAGATGTACTTATTTCCTTCCGTAGCCATTTGGTAGCTTGGGTGGCTTCTTTGGTGGTCATCTTGATAATTTGGTGGCCGTCTTTGGGGGTTAGAGGAGGAGATGTGTAAGTAGATCAAGGTAAAGAAAACCCACGAGCTCCTTAGATTCTTTCTTCCACTAGCTTGCCCTTATTCCGTACTAAGAGTCTTCCCTTACCTGATCTTTCTGCTTTCAGATGAGCTACCGTACTTGAGGTGCCCTCTTCATACCATCTTCAGACTTACCCCTGTGGCCTACGGTAACTATGAGTTTAGGGGCTGGGCAGGCGGTGGGGATTGAAGAAGGTTAGGATTTTTTGCTTTTCTCTGAAGTTTGTGTAGAAGTACAACTTAATTACCCCTGTATACCAGGAGAGTTCCGTCAGTGCCTTCCACTTTTAAATGTGTGTATGTATCCGGGAATGGATGCATTCTTTCATGGTATGCTGTCCCATACTGAAACTAAGGAATTTTTCTTTGAGCTTTTTCTCTGAAGGCCTCTTTTCTTGTTTCTGTTTTCCCAGGGTGCAAAGTGGAAACCATTAAGCTCAATGTGGAAGCTGTGAACACTCACCGTGACAAGCCAGATGTAAGTATTTCCCTATAGGTGAACATGCAGGCTCCTGAGTCTTTGAAACTTTGGCGTCATGACACTGGGGTTTCTTTTATGTACCAGAGAAAAAGAAATCCAGAACTCATGTTCTATATAGTCTGCTTACTTCCAAAAGGAAGAGATGTTGGAATTATTATTTTTTAAGATTAGTACCTCTCTCATGAGTCTTGACCTTGAAAGCTCCTGTAAATACAGTTAAATATGCAAAGTGTTTGGCTGCAATGAATTGCAAAATCCCCCAGGAAGAGAACCTCTTAGAAAGAAGGATCTAGAAGAACCTATAAGGTAGGGTGAAGAGGTATGGGTTTGTTCCTAGGTCTGTCCTGTTAATCTGTTTTTAAATAAGTCCCTTCCTTTCTTTGTCCCTCTTTACTGCTTTGGAGTATGATGCTCAAGGAGCTTCTCCTTCTATATCCCTTTGGCTTTCTGGGGCTAAGAGGCTGGGCCATGGCCCACGTCCTGTAAGGGACGCTGTCCTAGAGGAGTAGCGGTGGAGGAAGTCATGGTTATAAGCATTATTTAACCTTTATAAGTGAGCTTTTGTCTTGGCTTTCATTTGTGTGGTATCCCTCCATTTCCAATCAGAACAACTTTCCCAAGAGCCAAACCCCTGTAAGGATGAGAAGGAACAGCTTTACACCTCTGTCCAGTTCGAATACAGTAAGGCGTCCAAGAAATTACAGTGTTGGGAGCCGGCCCCTCAAGCCCCTCAGTCCTCTCCGCGCCCTGGACATGCAAGAAGGGGCCGACCAGCCGAAGAGCCAAGTCAGCATTCCGGTGGTGTAACTGTGTGTTTCCCTCCAGTCCTGGCCTCCTGCCCTTGTCACTAATCACCAGGGAATCATTTAACTTCCACCCCCCACCCCCAACACCCCACCATGAATCTTAACACAGAACATGAGGACGTATGTTTTTAGACCAACCTCATCTATTCTGCATTGTGAAACATCTCCCCATTTAGGGGAAAGTTGATGAGTTGGGTGTTTTAGAACAGGTGCTCATTCTGGGTGGTCTGGAGGAGGAGGAAAAGGGATAATCACCTCTGGGATGATAGCGTACCTGGGGCTGAGGCTGAGCATGGCCAGTACACTGTTCTCAGTCCTTGGTGTCTAAAGTCACTAAAGTTCTTATGGTGGTACAGTGGGGGTGGGGTGGAGGGGAACACAGAAAAACCCATTTTCCCTTCACCTTTGTCTCTTCAAGGTGTGCTTTACTCACAGTTCTTACCTGCCTGCTTTCTTCCCCCTCCCTCATCTCACTATTGGGTTGTCCATTGTGATGCATGCCATTGTCATTGTAGTGTCTGTCTAGGAGGGAGGGAAGGTTGTGGAGAGAGAAGTCCAGGTGCCCCATTGATTTCTCTCCACAGAGGGCCCAAATGGATGTGGATGAGGGCGGGGAGCCTTTCTTTTCCCTCGTCCTTCTCTCCAGCCATGTCCTGACAAGGTCAGCCTAGGCTATAGGACATTCACAGGCACTCTGGAGCTAGTAAGTGGATATAGGGTGAGAGTTCTTGCCTCCTTTCATGAGAAGTAGTCCTAAGGCTTTGATGCCCATGGTAAAGCTGGCTCTGAGAATGTGGGAAATATCTTGGTTTGTATTTTTCACTTCACTTTTGGAGGCTGTGGAGTGAAGTTTAGGACAGTATGTTGGCCCCCAGCTGCTACAGGGCTATTTTAGAGCAGGTCATCCATTTTCTCCAGTGGCTCCCAGCTTCTTTGCTACCCACTGCCAGCAGGTGACCTCTGGGGCTGTTTAGAAGGACACTCACCACTGATTCAGGAGTCACTACTAATGTTTGAATTGCTCAAGTCAAAAGGCAGAGAAGAGTTTGCTAGAACTGCTAATTATTTTTCAGTAGTTTTGAAAACACTCCTTTTTAAGTTGAAGAGTCTGAAGGGTCTTTCAGACCCTGTGCAGTATAGCCCTTTGCTGCTGGTGTTCACCTATTCACTTCTGTCATTTTATTTTCTCTGTAGGGTTAAACAGGAATAGTTTACAGCAGGGATTCTTAGCCCCTTGGGCTCATGATAGCGTACTTCTCTCCCCAAATTTGTATGCAGAACATATGAATTTATGGGCTTTTTCTGGCAAGCAAGTCTAGAGTGCTCATGAAATTTTTTGTTTCAATTTTTTTTGTATTAAAAATTGAAAAAAAAGGGAGATGACCCCATCTTAAAGTCATTAATTTGTGTTTTAGAAGTAACCAGTGAGAACAAGTTAGTTATTTGCCAAAGTTGCTTTTGGTAATTTGCCATGGTTCTTATCTAGGAGTATTCATTAGAACCTCCCTGAGAACTTTTGCAAGGTACACATACCCCGGTCTGCTTCAGGCTTAACATTCACTCAGAATGTCTGGGGTTGGGGCCGGCATGTGCATGTGTTTAACTGTCTTCCTGTTGATTCTAACTCTTACTCCAGGTTTAGTCTCCATTCTGTGAAGTTGGGTAACAAATACTGGGATGGTGGTTTCTTGAACAAAGCAGTAACCTAGGAATTCTGAATCCCTCACAAAGTTAGATGTTTAGCAGATCACAATATTGAATGAAGTCATCCCCTCAAAAGCAGGCTGCTGTGTTTTAGAGTATTATTCTAGGTTCTAGTCACATCTTTAACCATGTACATGTAAGGGTGAAATCACTATGTAAATAAATGTCCTTTATAATAGCTGGGAAGGAAGATTATCATCCCAGGCATCTGACTGGTGACCTTGAGTCCTTGATTCTTATATCTTGTATAGAACATCACAGTGAGTTTCCCAAGGCTGCTTGCCCAGATTCTGCTTGAAATTACTTCGGTGTGCTCTTCTCGTTTACCATGTACATAAGTGTACCTAGTGTCTCAGTTTGTGAGGCTTTGGGCTGAGTGGGAGGGGGGGGGTGCAGGTGTACATAGAAGGAAAGGTGCTTATCCCAAGAAGTTGTTTTAGAAACAGGGCATATAATTAATCATAAGTGAGCATTTGTGAAAGAGCAACACCTTGTAAGTGTGGACACTAAAGCGTAATATAGATTACTTCTCCTGACCTTTTTCTTATTCTTGACCATGGGACTAAAGGAGTTGGGAGAATGAGTTGTGGTCTAGGACATGGGTATGGTACTTTCAGGTAGTTGCCTCATCTATTTTTGCTTGGCTGGTGGCATCTTTAGCCCAAATGAGCATTCATTCCATCTTTCCTCCTGCTGTGTTGTGAGAGTAATTTAGAGTTAATGAATGAGAAGAAGGAGCATTTTGATCCAAAGACTTGGGATTTGGCCTTTACGTACTTCTAGTGAGAGGAGAAGTGTCTAACAAACTTGCATTATGTTACCTTGTTTTAAGCCCCAGCATTAGCCATAGGTCACTGGAATGTTCCTGTGGATAACTTCTCTGCACTATCCCCTGTGCCAGTTTGCTTGCCTCAGAAGAGGAGCCTGAGGTGGTCTTATTATTCTCAGATAGGACACAAGAAATTACAGTTTGAAAATGGCAAGTTCTAAAGCATTCTTCAATTTTTAGAGCAAGATCTCTAGAAAGGGTTCAGCAGGAAGAACCCAGAACATAAAATGGGATGGAGCTCTAAACTGTAGAGAAGTCCTACTTCCTATCTTTTTTTCCTGTGCTCCTCTCCTATTCTTACTTGATTGTGTATTGGTAGTAAATCAACATTACTGTGATTATATCTGTATCACAAATCCTACAAAGAAAGGGTGGACCCCAAAGTACTTTTTTGCGGAGGCTTCAGTTTTGTTATGGGAGAAATAGGTGAAGGCTTTAGCATTTATCTATTGATAGAAAATTGGGAAAGGAAAATCATTATATTACATTTTTTTCTACTTTTCAGTTACAGTTGACATTCATTTTCTGGTGTTTTTTTTTTTTTTAATTACTGCTTTAGAGCTGAATGAGGCCCTGGCTGGGTAGCTCAGTTGGTTAGAGTGTTGTCCTGATATGCCAAGGTTGTGGGTTTGATCCCCAGTCAGGGCACATATAAGAATCAACCAATGAATTAAAAAATAAATGGAATGATAAAAATTACGTTTCTTTCTCTCAAATCAATAAAAAAAGAGCTGAGTGAGGAATTCTGTGACATACTTGAAAGAGAAATGTAAAATAGATTTAATATAAAGCTTCTCTTTCTGTCTCCTAATCCTCAGATTTGAGTTAGCTCTTATTATCCATAATATCTTGGTTTTGTTTTGTAAGAGGATTATTTCACATTCACTTGGAAAGTAGAATAGGAAAATATTTTAAAACTTTAAAACTTTGTGTTAAGTGGTCTTACCATTGTCTCTCTCTTTTTTTAATCCTCACTTGAGGATGTTTGTTGATTTTAGAGAGGAAGGGAGAGAAAGAGAGAAACATTGGTATGAGAGAGAAACATCGATTGGTTGTCTCTCATACTTGCCCTGACTGGAGATGGAACCTGCAACTTTTTGGTGTGTGGACAACATTGTCCAACCGACTGAGCCACCTAGCCAGGGCTGTCTCTGGTTTTTGTTTTTTCCTCAAGAAATTTGTATTCCTAGGCTGAATGGTTGAATGTTTCCTGTGAGGTTCTGGCTCTTCCTCTTTGTAACCCATTTGATGTTCAGAGGTACTGACATTTTGAAGAAACATGATATAGCTGTTAGGAAATAAATCCATATTAAATGTTTTTTTCTGTGAACAGAAGATCTGAGTTCCAGAGAAACTTACAGGTACTTGGGATAGTCAAAGGACAAGGAAAAAAGTGTCTAAAAATTGAGAGAACTATTTCTGGGTTATATAGTCTTATGCACATTTCATTGTTTTGCTAAGCTCAGAAGTCAGGTTGTTTGTTTTCAAGAAACTTGATAAATTTACCCAGGTTTTCTAGTGCGCACTTTGACTTGTTTTTGTTTTAAATTAAAAAATTATATAACAATTGAGTCAGGTTTAGCAGGATTGATATATTACTTCTCATAGAGGTGATATACACATCAGAAGTATGTTGAGGAATTTAATATAGACTCATAGTGTCCAGAAGACTGTATGTAGTGGTAGTAGCTATGTGCTGGCTGACTGACAGACTCTGAAAGGATCTGCAGTGCTGACTGACAGACTCCAGTAGGGTTCATATGCTGACTGACTGACTGACAGACTCCAGTAGGGTTCATATGCTGACTGACTGACTGACAGACTCCAGTAGGGTTCATATGCTGACTGACTGACTGACAGACTCCAGTAGGGTTCATATGCTGACTGACTGACTGACAGACTCCAGTAGGGTTCATATGCTGACTGACTGACGCTGGTAGAGTCTGTATGCTGATTGACTAAAAAGGAAGTAAACACTCCACATTTTTCTTGAGGAGAAAGTTAATAGACAGTGCTTTTAGAATAGCAGCCAAAGTTTCATCAGTTTGTAGAAAATGAAGGTTGTGTCATTCGTATGACATTTTGTAAATTCCGTTAAGGACACACCTGCTTGAAGCCTAAAATTGTTATTCTAGTTGAAGTCATCCTTTCCACTTTCCACTTCTAGGTAGCGTTTTGCTTTCGCCAGCCACTTCTGGACTTCTGTGTGTCCACAGCTTTTCTTGTATAGAATGTCGCACTCCATTGGATAAGGCTGCTCGTTGTAGTGTGACCCGCATTTGGCACTTGTTATCTGATAAATAAAACTGCAAAGGTGATTTTACACTTAAAATTGATTTTAAGAGGTGGCAAGTTATTCTTTCCAGTAAACCTTTCACCGAGGAATCTATGACCAATGTTTAACCATTCATTGTTTTTGTGTTTGAATTACTTGTGCACATTTTTAAATTGTGATGAAATAACAAAATCAACTCATTCTGATATGGTGATGGGTCTGCTGTGGCAAAAGCAAAGGATCAATCATCGACTTTGCCCTTTGGAGGGTTTGGGAGTGTGCTGAGTACTGCCGGGTTGAATGGGGATGGACTCAACTGGGAACCCATGCAGTAGAACTACCCTGCTGACTTCCTAGGCATGGGTCTGTTGAAAGAAGCAACTTAAGTCCTTAACAGCATTCTGATTTAGTCTGGTGACATTGATATCAAAACATGCCACTCAGATCCACCTAAGGTGTATATAACTGTATTCGAAATGTGTTTTGTGTGTGTGTGTGCAGAATGGGTAAATAAAATTGTTGAGTAACTTGAACCTATCAGAACGCTTCTGGGTTTTTTGTTTTGTATTTTGGGTTGTGTTCTCACCCATTCCACCACCCCCAGAACTTTGCTTTTAACACTGTTCAGTGATTGAGCCTCACATAAGCCAAGGCCAGCTCCCAGTGTGGCTGGTGTCCTTGGTGTAGGCGTGGCTCTCTGTCACCACCTTCTGGGAAGGATGGGAAGGACATTATGGAAGGCATGTGAACTTCTGTAGGAGTTGTGTGTACTTTTTGTCACCTTTACAAGAATTACCGCTTACCTTTGACCACATTGCACTATGACTCCCATTAATAACATGTAACTCACTATTTATTGTAAAGAAAAGCTTTGGAGATCTCTTAAAATTTAGTGGGCTGTTTCTTCTAAATATGACCTGCCTGTTTCTAAACAGGTTATAGACAGTGGATATAGCCAGAGGTAAATATAACAGTGTTTATGTTCTTCTGTGACAGGGGAGTACAGGTAGAATTCTGTTACCATTCTCATGCCTTACTCTTTGTTACTCTAACAAGGACCTGCAGCTCATTAGCTATGCAGACACTTGGGCTCCATCCCAGGCCTACTGAATCAGAATCTTCATCTTAACAGGATTCCCTGGTGATTCAAATGCACACATCACACTTGAGAAACACTGTTCTAGAGGGAAGAATTTCTCACAAGCTGAACTGCGAAATCCCAGTTTATGGGAAGAAGTTGATTTCTGTTCTGATGACTGATTTCAGAATGGGCTAGGGTAGCTGCAATGGCAGAGACCCTCCTCAGAAGCCAAGTAGTTCCTGGCTGCAGTGTCACTTTCTTGGCGTGGCCTTTTGGCTGATGGTGCCAACATACTCTCCTTTTACCTCACATCTTGGGTATGTGGCTTACAGTCCAGGTCTGAAAGGTGTGCCTGGTTCAACGTGGCACAAGGAAAGTCGGTTTTTCTGGGAAGGAAGCCCGTGACTGCCACTGGAGTGTGTCCGACTCCTGAGAGTAAAGGGGTGTGTGCATGTCTGTGTGCACATGTGGGGATGGGGCGGAGATGAGGGGGAAGCAGTGGGAGGGTTGGGGAGGGATTCTGCTCTACCTTTATTTGACATTTGGTGGTGGTATAATGGCTTTGTTTCTCTTCCTCTCTGGCTCCTAGGCAGAGACCTTGCAGGCTGTGCCTAGCAATTCTTCTGCGACATCCCATCGCTCTCCCGATATGGAAGCTAAACCAGATCTCCCGGGGGGACCGGAATCTGCTGAAAATCTTGGATGTCAGCTCCACCTGGGTTTGAACAGGAAGTGAAATGGGGATTGGACATTTGGGACCATCAAAATAAGGCCTGGAAAAACAGCACCAAATTTCCCCACCTCATGCTTAATGGGAATATCAGTTACATGGGGAAACTTCATTTTTTTGTGCCTCAATGAGCCAGTTATTTTTTTATGATCTTGTTGTTGGGTTTTGCCCAATTTGGTCAATCTTTTTCTGTCTTGGTATTTAACATCCTACCTGTGACTAGCTCTATCTGGCTATTTTTGGCCTAAACTGCAAATGCACCTCTTCAGATTTCATTGTTTCCAGGTGAGAAGGCTGAACTCAGCCTTTTGTGCGTTGTAAGAGCTGGTCTCTGCATGCATTCCAGGTGAGCAGGGTAGAGGACAATTTACGTATGTTAGCATTCACTTTTTTTTTTTGTCAAATTGGAAAGAGGCAAATTCACCAGGTAAAAGGAGGGTATGTGAGAAATAGTCTCTAAAATGTCTCTGCTGTGGTGATGGAAGAGGAGTGACAGCAACCTTTTTGTTGAGAGGTTTTTCTTGTTCCAGGCCCCTCAAGAGCAGGATCTGACTGCAAGTCCTCCCCCAAATGGGTACCCATCTTCTAAGTTCTCTTTTGTGGCTGCTTTACACCTGATGATTGGGAATGAGGGCTGGAGAGAAAGGCAAGGGGCCATTTATATCACATGAAAAAGTAAGAAGGTTCCTTGGGAATCAACTCTACCAGGGAGTTCTTTTGGTTTCAAAACAGGTGCCACTCTATGGGGTTTGTCGCCGTGCTGTTGTACAAGAAGGCAGTGGCTGTGACTTTAAAAGCAGCTGGTCTTCTGATGCCTGCCTCTTAGCTAGGTGTCTCTAATTTGGTCTACTTGTCTCATCTAAAACACTGGTGGGGGGTGGCAGGGAGAACGAAGCCCTTAGTACATTAGTCACTGGGTTCTCCTTAAAGATAACCCAGGTAATTAGCCTTTACACCAGTGGTTGTCAAATATGCAAATGTGTCTCTAGATAATGGTATTAATGTGTTACTCCTGAAGGAGAATGGAATCTCCAAGGGATATTATATCTTACAAGCAAAATAATTTTTTAAGAATGGTAAGTTTTTAGCTATTTACATGTTTCTTCCTTTTCACTTAGATGTCCACTTGCTGGGCCAGGGGGTGAGTAGCAAGAAAAGCAATGAGTTGTAGCTCTTCCCAAATGGTTCTTTTATACTGTGGTTGGTACAGGGCTGTTATTGAAGATGTAATAATCTGGGCTGCAGGCAGTTCAGCATCCAGCAACTAGAAGCTCATTTTATATGCACAAAGCTGCCTTCAGAAAGTCTCCTGACCACACTTTGTAACAGGTCATTTTCATCTGACTGTTTGTAACATGCTGTACTGTACTGATTTTATTCTTGTGATGCAGGTTTCTTTCTGCATCTATATACACTGTCTTTTGATGATCAGATAATTTTTTAATTTAGTTATTTATTCATCCATGTAAAGTATTCTTAAGTCCCCATATTAGTGTTTGCATGTATTTAATCAGAATGTAAGGTAATTTGTATTGTCAATTTTTGGTAGAAATTGAGGTAGTTTGAGCATTCAAGTCTAATGTCCATAGTGTTACCTTAAATTAAAATTTCAGAATATAGATATCTGTCTTCTATAAAAGGATAATAACTATATTAAGGCACAGTGGATTTCTTTGAATACTCTTTTGCTCATTGATTTTTATTTATAAATCAAGAGCTGCATTTCTCTGCAGAAAAGTGTATCTCCTAGATAAATAAAATCATGCTGAAATATGTAATATGTATTGTTTTTGTAATAAGAAATACAATAAAAGTTATTTTAATTAAAAATCAATTTTTGAAATCACACAAAAGAGAATAACATTGGTACCTTATACAGACACAAAATATTAATAACATTGTGCATAATATGTTTCAAACAAGCTTCTTTAAAATGATTCCTAAATTACTAGATTATATATTGTATTTTCAACTTGTGGTTTTAACTTGTTAACTCCTGCCTTTATCAAGTTTATTTGCATTTCAAAATATCAGTGGGATCATTGCAGTCATGCATTATTGACATTCTAAAGCTATATTAATTTAACAAATATTCAATGGTCACCTATAGGTTGCTATGTAATAGCTAAACTAAAGTTCCTGTCCTTTTCCTGGAGTTTATTATTGGAAAGGAAAAAGTAAATAGCAGTTCTGAAACCCATCCCTTCCTATTGGGAATGCCTTCCCTTTTATGAATAACCTTGACCAAAACCATGATTAGGTAATAGTTGTGTAAATGTTTATAATAAAGGAAACTTGAACACTTTCTTTAGGGTCAGTAGCAATAGAAATAAAATGAAATGTTCGTAATAACAGTGGAACAATTGTAAGTTCTATAGTCCAAGGCATCTGATAGGATGAAAATGATTTATCAATTCTCCAAGTTTGCAATAAAGTGAGAGGCAGTGGTTATAAGTATTGCTAAATATACTGAGCTTTAGCAATACATGTGAAGGAGTAACAATATGAGGGTGTCAATGGTGTAATTTCCTTAGATTGCTAAGCAACTTCACAAATGTTTTCTTATTCAGCAATCAGCCCATCATTTGTAGAAGGCTGGGAGGGCATGGCATCATTCACCCTATTTTACAAATAGGTGAACACTCTTATTGAGTGGTCCATCTTGACATTGATGGAGTTTTTGTCAAAGCCCATAGCTCAGAACAGGGTAAACCGTAAGATTTGGAATGGTGAGGGCCCGACAAACACAATATAGTACTATTTTTGTATATAGCTGGAAACTTAACAAATATATCAGGCTTAGAAAATGACTATTCAGAAAGTGCTCCATTACTTGCTTGATTTCTGTAACTTTATTTATTACAGCATGTCTTAACTCTCTCCAGGTGCGTCACTGGGAACTCACTGTTGGGAGGGTCAGCCTTCAGGCTCACTAGCTTGTCCTGGTTGGTGACAGCCCTACTCGCACTTCCTGGCAGCCTGGCTGTCACCTATTTTCATGCACTATGGTCTTGATGTATTCTGCACTATCCAACCTATATTCTTTATCTTGAACTTATTTGAAAATTTGATAAAAGCCAAAGACTCCCCAGAAAAAGGTTGACATATAAGTTTTGCATTCAGTTTTTGGAGGTCATGACTTCCTGAAACCCAGCCCGGAATGCCAGGGTATGAAACTGGAGCTTGGTAATACATACACACAGACTCACCATCTCCCTTTCTTTGACATAAAAAAGTCAAGAGATATCCATTTGATACTAACTTTTTTAAGCAGACAGGGAGAATATATGAAATTCTGAAATGCTCACATTCTTTTTTGCTGGGCCTTGTGGAATATTTAAGAATTTGAATGGATTGTAGTAATTATGGAGAGTGATGTTTTATTTTTCTTAAAAACTTCAAGGCACAGTCTTATTTTATTCTCAGTAAGCCCATGCCAGCTGTGTTATTTTAATCATTACAGGCAGAACTCCCTTCTGAACTCCCAAAGGCATTTAAATGCCCTTGTTAGTTGTATGCAATACCTTATCTGTGAAAACCAGGTCAGATTCTATAGAGGAATTAATATTGCAATTAAGTGACATAATTTCAGAAGCAGAGAGACTCTGGGGAAGCAGCATTCCAAATCTAATGAGGCCTAGGCTCAAAAAGGTTAATGACCTTCATTGACCATCCAGCCCACATTCAGAGCACATCTTGTTGACCTGCTTGTGTTTTCTTTATTGG